AATACGCCTATTCTTGAGTAAGAGAGGAAGAGAGGTACTATGATAGCAGACTCACACAACTCTGGTAATATATCTCAATCATTATCTGTAATAAATATCTTTTACCAGAAGGCTTCATTTATCTGAATTTTAACACATTTCCATGTGGACATTTCGAATAAGACTAAGATAACCAACCTCATTTGTGATCTAAACATCTCCAAAAGGTGAAAAGTAGGTGCACTCATTAACTAGATTTTGGATCCTTAAAAGTAACTTTGCAATATGACTTTTATAAGATATGTATATGGATGAACTCTTACCACTAAATATTCCTGGCATAAAAACATTTCTAGTACTAAGCATGTGCTTTAAAAACATTTTAAAAGCTATTAAAATTGGAATACATTATTGAAAACAACATGTATATAAAGATAAATGCATTAGTAGTATTATAGGTTTAAAATAGACTACAACCTAAAAGCTAGGGCCTTGTAGGTGAATAAATATAATACTGTAGTTAAAATCAACTACATTTTATTCTGAGTTGATAGTGGCTATGTATTAACAGCAATGTGTATTAATTAAAACATACAGTTTGTACAGATGTGTATATAATGAAAGCAGAAATTCAGAACAAAATGAAATCAGACTTCCACAAAATGCCCACTTCCTGCTGTGTGATGCCCAAGCCTCATTAGTATATACAAGTAGTTATCTGGCTGAGCTCTTCAGGGGGATTAAGCATTATCTGGTCATTATAAATAAAAATCAGATTATGGCAGTGATATAACCCAATTGGTATTTCCAGCTAAATAGTTCTAATAATTCAGATCAATTTTAAATAGAATAACTGAGTAAACTATTTGTACACTTAAAGTTCACATACACAATCAGATCTCTGGGTGGCACATTTCTATAGAAAACTTTGTTTCTGGTGGTTTAAATACTAGTTTATTTTACATAATTATTCTACAGGAATTAAATACTTCATATTAGAATAACTTTGCATTCTAGTTTTCCATTAGAGGAGCAAAAATATTTTCGTCTAACTGCATGAGTCAAAACTGAAATCTTGACATGAAATACAGAAAAGTATTCTTCTTTCTCACCCTCCATGGAGATGTAGCTTAATTAAAGGTTATGTAATTGAATTAATTTTCTATCAAGACATTTTTATAAATTATGCATAAAGTTTAAATTATGTTGTATGCAAATAAAGTCTCAACTCTCTTCATAATGTGTTCACATACTAACAAGTCAACAAAAATTTGTAAGAAAAAGAAAATGTGATTATACTTTGTGTAATTAAATACAATCATGATATAATATGTATCACTTACTCCTTGACAATGAAGGTAGTCAACTGTTTTAGTTATAGTATACAATACAGCACTAGCCTCCCGTTCTGAGAAATACTTTTGTCTGAGAATCCGATCAAGCAGCTCTCCTCCCTTCATCAATTCAGTGACCAGGTAAATATATCTGCCATCATCATACACCTGCAGAAGTTTAAAACACACACACTAATTTGAATAATTCACAATTAAATATACATTCTAAGAATTTTAAGGACTAAATAAAAAAGTCCTCTCAATCTTCTAAGTGTATATGTATACAGACAGGTATTGCAAAATTTAATTCTTCAACTGAAAATTCATGCCTCATGGCACAAGGATTAAAGAAACCTTACATCTCACTGGAGGATAGGTCCATCAATGGCTATTAGGGCAGGGATGGTGTCCCTAGCCTCTATTTGACAGAAGTTGGAAATGGGCAACAGGGGATGGATAACTTGATGATTACCTGTTCTATTCATTCCCTCTGGGGCACCTGGCATTGGCCACTGTTGGAAGACAGGATACTGGGCTAGATGGACCTTTGGTTTGACCCAGTATGGCCATTCTTATGCAATGTGGAGCTAGTGGGTCATTAAATGATATTCTGGGATTCATTCTTTCACCTGTGCTGCCCTAGGAAAAACCATGTTGTTTCTCCCTATTTTTACCAGATGCAATTTTGAGTGATGGCACTTCATATATTGCCACCTAAGTAGTTTATTTCTACATTAGATCAACGACACATCAAGTGTTCAGTTGAGATAAGGATGGCAAAGACAAGCTTCCAATATCAGACTCAGATGCATATATTAAAACTGTTCAGGCAGCCATGGATCTTTACATTTATTTATATAACGTAGGGTTCTTTGTTATTATTTTAAAAACTAAATAAGCTCCCCACGTGCTGGCAAAACACATGGAATAATGATAGCTGCAGTTAGCCAAAGATTCTGAATGGGAAGAATCACCCCTGTATCCCTCTACCATGTGCTCTCCACCCTTGTTCAACTGCAGCTGTCCCAATCTCCAGTGGCCCATCAATTTGCAACCCATTGAAATAGGAGGCAGCAGGGGTGGCATTTTGGTTTTTTATAGCTAATGATGAAAGCCCCAATGAACTTGGTTTCTGCTTGGTTTGGTTTTTTGTTGTTGTTTTTTTTTTTAACCTTAGAGATAGCAGGAGTATTTTTTTGGTCCTTTTTAAAAATTTCTGCTAACAGAATTCTTTGGAATGCCAGAGAGCTACAAAGGCTTATCTATACTTACCGAGGGATCAACAAGTGGTGAACGATGCATCGGCGGTCGATTTAGCGGATCTAGTGAAGACCTGCTAAATCGACCACAGATTGCTCTCCCGTCGACTCCTGTACTCCACCGGATCAAGAAGATTGGGGGAATCAACGGGAGAGCGTCTCCCGTCAACATCGCATAGATCTAAGCCACGTCAATTTGCATTACACTATTCCTGAAACTCAAATTCCCTGTAGTGTAAACAAGGCCTGAGCCATCAGTTTAAAGTGCATAAGTGTTGACTCTTTCACAAGTAGATCTTAACTGTTCGGCATTTTGAGTTAAACAAAAAACAAGAAATTATTAGTACCTAAAAATCCCATCCCCTCTCACATGCACAAGTTCTATTAATTAATTATGGTATCATAATTCTACTAGCTCTCTAGCTGTCTACAGAATCTTCCAGTAGAACCATGATAAACAAGATCTAAATTTCAAATGGGAGGGAAAGTGGAAATAAAAGCAAGCAAGTGCAGAATTTTCTTCTCTTTGCACGTCACCTTTAAGGCCCAGAATCATTTAGGAATTTAAATAATACATTAATTAGCAAAGGCCAAAAACATTTTGAGTCTCCCAAAACTTGGCACTTTTGCAAAAAAATTAAGATATAATTTATAAGTTACAGTATATGCCATATTTAAAATATTTTACCTTTTTTTTTTTAAAACTGTAGGTATTGTTTCCAGCATGTTTTACTGGAAACACAAAACATGAGATCCCTACCCAACAATTATTTTATTTACTGTTTGACTGTTTTGTGGTAAGAATTGTAAAATTTAAAAAGAGTACATACGTCTTTTAGAGTAATAATATTAGGGTGTTGTCCATAGCGCATCAAAATCTCAATTTCTTCTGAGGGATCTCTCTTACTTTTGTCAATTATCTGTGAAATAAATGGTGGAAAAGGACTCAATGTTAAATGAAGTATTTCCTCATAAAGGCAAAACGGATGAAAATCCTGGATTTTTGGATAAGAGACCACAAAAGCTACAAGTAACAAGAATTTTCAAACTGAGCAAGACAGCAGTTTTGACTATAAAAGTCACACAATATTGCTCTTTACTTTAATGCTTCATCCTTAGTAGTTATGAGTGACATTATCCAGCCTATTCACTTAAAGCTTGAGGTTAATAGTTACAAAACAAGTTCTAGCATATATGGAAAATTACTCTAATCTGAAGATATTAGTGAATTTATCAGACTATCCTAAATATTTCACTTCCCTCCTGCCCACTTCCCCACCTAAAGAGTCCACTGATCTCACCTTTGTTGTACTCTTATTGTAAGGGCAAATAAAAAAGGAAAAGGGAACATTTAACAATATGTCTATTCGGTCTAACGAAACATGATAATTGAAGTAATTTCAAAGCCAACAGAATTAGGTTTCAAATAATTGTTATATTGCTCCATAAATCTTTTTCCAACAAAGTTTGATGGCAACCTTTCCTCTAACAAGAAATAATGGTAAAAGCAAATACAAAATTTAGCTGAATGGAAAAATTTACTTTTTCATTTCTCAAAGTACATACAACATTACACTGACTGAAAAATTAGATGTATATAAAAAAAGGTCTCCTTACTTACTAATACATTAAAAAGATACATTACTTGACTGTGGAGTAACTATTCAAATACCAAAAGAGAATTTACACCAAGTACCTTCACGGCAAACTCCATATTGGTAGCTATGTGCACACATCTCTTGCAAACAGAGTAGGAGCCAACACCAATATCCTCCTTCAGCTCATATACATCAGTGAACTGTGCACTGTTTCCATGAAGTTGCTTTAAACAAATATAAACTGCATTTTAAAACAATAAACTGTACTTTAACAAAACATGATTTTTACTTTCTCAAGCAGTACATTTTTCTTTACTTTGCAGTTTTTTCCTTTTGAAATTTACATTTAAAAAGACATTCAACTTGATTTTTGAGAATGGATTAGTTTAAATTGCTGCATATAATATTTATGTACATTATAAGGGTTTTGGTGCTGCTGTGCTGATATAAGGGTCTTTCCAACAGAGGAGAATGGAGGTTAGCTATCAATACACACATCAGCTTTTGGCATTTCAGTTAAGAAATATCTATACCAAGAAAAATAAATGTTACCTGTACTATTGGCAATATATTGGTGAGGGGTGAAATTTTATGATCTTCTATGGCAGTAGTTGCAACAAAGCTAAATCCTTTGAACAGCTGATGCGCGTTAGCACTAGGTGGAACTCCTGGAGAATCTAATTGTTAAATACACATGGTTTAATTAGAATCTGAAGAGTATTCTGTTACTACAGTATATTGAAGCTAAACTATTCTGTGTGTTTACCATAGATATGTTCTCAAAAGTATTTTGTGGAAAATACAAGAAAGTAGAATTGGTTCTGAACTACAAGATGTAGTCGGGGTGCCAATATATCACCTTTCACTTATATTCTCACTTTTACTTATTTTAACAGTATCATGTTAAATAAAATACATGCTTGCCCCCATGCCCGCTTTTTTTTTTTAAACTACAAGAATTCAGGATGTTGCATAAACTAGAATACATGCAATTTCATCTGTTCCCTCCAAAAAACAACTCTGTCTGTGACTATTCACAAAGAAGAACTAAAGATTGGTGCCACGGTTTCATTCATAGCTGCGAGCTCAAGTATGTGGAGTCAAAAAGGGTGCATACGAGGGCACTGCTAGCTAGAAGTTTCAACTGAAGAACCATAGATGTGGGCATGGCAGAAGTACAGTGATCCATGGAGACAATACTTGAAGAATGTAGCGATATGTTTCAAAAGTCATGAGAGCCAAGGTCTTCCCCAATGTACACTGTGTACAACTTCTACTTCACTGTACTCTGTTTAAACACAAATAAAGCATAATTTGGCCCAGAGGTATTTTAACATATGTATGTAAACTTAAGAGCTATGTTGGAATACAAACTGCTGATAATACGTCATGTGGCCAACAAACCAGATATCTGGTTTTAAAGTCCAGGTGAAACTGTCAAGTGGAGATTTATAAACAGGACCCTTAAATGAATATACTAATTGTTGAACAGTAATGATTATAAGCCTTAATTGAGTGACTGAACATTAGAACAAAACCATTTCACTGTGTGGTAATTCTGTATTTAAAAGATGACTTCACGAAAGATATTTACACAAGTTTACTTGAAGCACTCCTAAAATTGATTTGATAGCACTAGCTCAAGTCAGGCAAAATATTAACATATACCATTTTACTTTCCCCACACATTCAGTTTTACCATTGCACCTTAATACCAACATGGAAAAATCCCTCATCTCTAAACCTGGATTTCACCTAAATTCAAATTTGACTGGGCAAAAGAAAAGTAAACCCATCAAAAACTTTACTGAGCCAAATTATTTCCAGTTGTAGAGGATAGTAATCCTGAAATATACTCAAAACATGCACAAGGGACTAGGATGTCAGAGTCATCTTCACTTCACTTTTGACAAGATGTGAAGAACTATGTATTAACATATCTAGGCTCACAAGCAATGTCTAAGACTCAGACATAGGGCAGATCTGATCCAACAACTGTATTAACCTAGTCCCGGTGACAGGCACAGATTCTGCAGAATCAAGGGTTTTAATATAAAAATGGTTCCCAGCTCTTAACAGTTAGAAAAATAATCTCTTCTAATGTGAAACCAAATAAAACGTTGTACTGCTGTCTTCCTGATCTATAGATCAGGTACAATATCTTCATGAGGGTGAACTGCCCTAATTCATTACAATGAGGTGCTAATTTTGAAATTACAACACAATTGATCATAATAATTTCAGTGCTAATTTTTCAATGCTAATTAGCAGAAATATTCAATGTCCACTACTAAATACAATCCCATTAGCTGGACATCAATCACTTTAAAAAAGAACAGTTCTTTCTCTCCATGACTATCCGGCGACTCTTACCGTCTAATACACATTGGTCAAAATGGAATAGAAGAAAAATGCATTGCTGCTCAATTTCCTCTCATTTTATCCACTTAGAGGATACGGCAAAGGAAAAAAAAACCACTTTCTCTGCAGTTTCTCTCTCCAGCAGCTAGGAGGGGATGAATGGGAGATGATTCACTGCTTAAGAGTGCTACTCTCTGGGGCTTGCACTGAGGTAAGGATGGTTTGTAAAAGATAAGGAAATGAAGCTAGGTGGGGGAAATGATGAGTCACTTGGGAGAGAGAAGAAAGATTTGGATTTCAAGCCCCTTTCTACAATTTCAAGTCAATCCACCACTGGAGAAAATGGAGATAAAAAAAAGAAAGACCAAAACAGGAACAAGAGAAATGGAGAAGGGAAGTAAAATTGAGACAAGAGCAAAACACACTTGTCTATCCACTGAATGGCACTAATGCCACAGTTGATTTTACTGTGATTGGTATATTTTCTGCCTTTCATCTTTGTGCCAATTCCCAAGATCAATGGTTCTAAATTTTATAGCTCTAGCCCCCAGGTATCAAACAATGGAATTTAGCCCTCCCCATACAATGAGTTCATCACATTGACTCGTTATTTTCTAAATATATGCATTACCTTTGGGGGTTTTTGCTGTGAATTCTGGATCAAAACAGAAGGTATCTTCTGGCTTACCAGAAGCAGGTTTAAATGGGGGCTGAATTTCTCTTCTGAACAGTTTCTGGAACAGAAAAGCCACAAAAGAAGTTTAACTAAAATTCAGAATTACTATACAGATATTATATATTTTGCTAAACTAAAAGGAACGCAACTAGAATGTTTTTCATCTATTTTCAAAAGATTTAGCTTTCTGAAAGAGCACACTTCAAAATAGCAGGCACAAACATGTGCTGCTGATCCTTTTTTAAAAAGATTTATTCAGGTTTTTCTACTTTCCTGCTTTGAAGGGCCTTAGCAGGGAAGAGAGAATCAGAAAGCCACAAGAAATATACCAAAGCTTGCCCCCGCTTCTTACCCACCAGGCCTCTCCCCTTCCAGCTTATTAAGTAGACAACAGCATGCCATTGCCCCCACTAACTCATCCTTACCTCAGAAGGAAATGGGCTGGCAGTGGTATATTCCCCAAATATCTGAACTGGATCCCAGTTTCTGGCTATTGTGGAGGGAGCCTGGTTCTCCAAACCACTCCAATCCCAAGAGCAGGGAGAGAGGATACATCCCATACTTTCCCATTCTAGATCCCTAGAGCAGGAGATTCTCCCTAGCTCTTCCTGCCTTAGGGGATTTGCCACCTCTTAAACCAATACTCCAGGTCTTTCCTAGATCCCTTAAGGGAACAGTGAGGAATGGCAGCTCCTCATTATCCTCTGTCCTGATGAGCAGTACAGGAGTAAAGCATTACCCCAAACAGGTACTCCCCAGCCCTATTCAGGGTTTAGGGGGGGAAAAAAAAAAAAAAGGTGGCTCATTCAGCATCTCTGTTTTCATCCTTGTATGTCAAGGCCAGTGGAAGGTTGAGTGGCTTGTAGGGGCTTTCTGCCTCTACGCTGGCCAGGTGGTACTCCCTGACCATCACCAGACTCCCACTGCTCCCTGCAGGAAAATCCACTGTAGAGTAGTCATCCCTGGCCCACTATCACAGGACTTGGGGAAAATATGCATGAGCTCACCCAGAGCAGTGAATGAGACAGGAAGTGAAAATGACCATTACCAAACCAGAATTGATTATACACTAAGTGCTGTCAAATACTCAAAGTGCACACTGTAAAAAAGCAGGTACAAAACTTTCAGGTAAAAAAAGTGCAATTTTCTCAGTGGTTTTCAACCTTTTTTCATTTGCAGACCCCGGAGAAAATTCTGAATGGAGGTGCAGACCCCTTTGGAAATCAGAAAATCTGTGGACCCTCAGTTGTCTGCAGACCACAGGTTGAAAACTGTTCTAGATACTGCTCCCTTAGAAATCTCAGTTCCTTATCGATAGTAATAGGAAAATATATTGATACAGTAGCAAGAGGATTTCTAGGTATATACAAATAGCATTTTTTTCTTTCTTTAATATTTGTATTCCAATAGCACCTGCCAGACAGACAGAGAGACAGGTGAGTACAGGGAAATAAGATAATATTGGTCAGCATGATAGGCAGTGGTCTCAGCACACCAGCTGCCTACCTCTTAAGATTTTTGTAAGCATCGCAGCAAAGGAGAGTTTTAAGGAGGAATTTGAAGGAGGATAATGTTTCATGGTTCAAGGACACTCCTTCCGAGCATGAAGGGAAGCATGGGAGAAAGAACAAAGGAGCTAGTTTGAAAATTCAACAATAGGGCAATGGAAGTTGGCCTCGTGGGCTGATTGGAGTGGCAGTTGTCATCTTGGTAGCGAATGGGAGATGACAGAGTTAAGACAGGCCATGAAAAGCCTTGAAAAAGTGAAGACAAGCAGCTTATGTTTGATGGAACAGAGAAGGGGGAGCCAGTAGAGGGATGCAAAAAGGCACGGAATGGGGGTGATATGATCAAGTCATTGGGCTAGGAAAATGTTCTTTGCAGCAGCATTCTGAATAAAAATGAGCAGGGCAAGCTTGCATTTGTGAAGGCCAGGGAAAAGGATATTACAGTAATTGAGATGTGAGATGAGAATTTAGCTGTGTGGATGGATTGTAAGAATTCACAGATAAGGCCAGAAGGGACCACTGTGATCATCTAGTCAGACCTGCTGTACAACAGGCCTTTAGGACTTCCTTGCATTAATTCTTGTTTGAACTAGAGCATATCCTTTTAGAAAAAGATCCAACACTGATTTAAAAGGCTGTATTTTAGAGATGTTATGCAGAAAGAATCGGTCAAGATTTAGGCAAAGCCTGAATGTGAGGACTTAGAGAGGTCCAAATTGAAGAGGATGCTGATGTTATGGGTCTGTAAGACAAGCAGAATAGTGGCATTGTCCACAGCAGTGGTTCCCAAACTGGGGTTCGTGAAATGTTACAGGGGGTTCTCGGGAAAAAATTCCCTAAATCGCGGACAGAGCTATCCCTAGGGACCCTGGGCAGCTCGGGGCCACTGCATGGAGCCCCTGGACTTCAAGAGCTAAGCAGATCAAAGCAAGCATATCTATCACACTGAGGAGATTTAAACTTCAAGATTCCTTATAAGAAATGGAAAGGGAGGTGGATATTTTTTGCTGTTTTTAAAATTAAATGGGCAGCTAGTATTTTTAAAATTATTATGAAGAACAAGTTTAAGCTTTGTCGTAACATGCCTTGTTTGCCTGGACTGCTCAAGACCTGAATGCTTGTGTAGGAGGAACTCTGAGTTGGCTTCTTCAGTACCTTCATGCTGTTTCACATCTGATACTCCTTGATGGAGCCTTGTCTTATAACAGGCTTATTCAAAGTGATACAAGCTACGAAAGTGAGATCTTGGAAGAGTGTTGCCATTTTCATAACATAATAAAAATACTGTAATGATAAATAATTAATACTATATAGTGTGTAATAAGTATGTCATAAAAACAAATTTTATATTTCCAAGATCACTGCTTTTAGAATTTATACTCAGGTAAAGGAGAAAATCCCTGGAAATATTCATTTTTAGGAGGGGGTTTGCAAGACTTGACATTTTAGTGAAAGGGGTTCACAGGTTGTTAAAGTTTGGGAACCACTGGTCCACAGTAATCAAGAAAGAAGGCATCAGGGAAGGTTTTGGTGGCAGAGATTAAAAGCTCTGTTTTAGCCACGTTGAGCTTGGTCTGACAGCTAGACATCCACAATGATACGTCAGAAAGAGGCAGAAGTTTTAGTTTGGATAAACTGAGAAAGATCTGGAGCAAAGAGGTAGATATACAAGTCAGCAGCATGGAAAGCGTAGTTTAATTTGTGCAAATGAGATTACCCAGATAGCATGTAGAAAGAGAAGAGATAAGAACCAAGGATAGCGCCCTCTGGAACCCACACAGAAAGCTGAAAGGGGAGGTGAGGAGGAGAACCAGGAGAGGACAGTCACAGACAGCCAAGGGAAGCCAAAATTTCAAGAAGAGCATGGCTGACAAGTCAATGAGGATGAGGATGAGGATGGAGTACTAGTTCTGAGCTTGGGCAAGGAAAAGAGGAGTACCAGAGATGGAAGCCAGATTAGAAAGGGCCTCGCATGGAATTGGACAGGAACTCCAGAAAGCAATTGTAAACACTGCATTCAATAAGCTTAGAGACAAAAGGAGAAAGGAGATAGAATGATAGCTGGAGAGGCAAGTGAGGTCAAGAATGGGGCTTTTTTTAAGACTGAGATTAAAACATGATTGTATTATGAAGGGAAGAGCCAGAGGAGAGCGAGATATTAATAAGTGCAAGGGAGAAGATGAGAGTGGGTGGCTAGCTCCTTTAAATGAAGCATGTCAAGCTCCACTATATTATAGGAGGAGCTCCCAGTTTGGCCAATTATGAGGGCGGGGGCAGCATCTGGGGCTATAGAAGAATCAGAAAGGATGGAGGTCAATGAAGAAAGCTGTAGAAGGTTCCTGGAAAGGCTGAAGACATGAGAGCAGCAAAGAGTTGCTGTCTGACTTCCAAGCCAGACAGCCAGAGCTGAGAGCCACAGAAGGCTGAGGGATGGGAGCAGCAGAGGGGCTTACCTCTGACATTTCCATGCTGCAAAGCGGGAACTAGAGGACTGAGCACCAGGGGAAGGGCTTACCTGCTGCTCTGCCTGAGAGTTACTGAACAGGGGGACCAATGGATGCTCTTCTGGTGAGGATGATCTCCCAGCAGAGAGGCGGGGGAGGGGGAACATGCTGGGAAAAGCTGGGTTATGCTCCAGTTCAAGGGGCTGTCGTGGCAGAAGGACAGGAGAAGACCAATGAAAACCCCAGGTGTGGTAGAAAATGCCAGAGTATAGTATGTGTACTGTTGATGGATCAGACAGTGTGAAGTTTTAAGGATTCTATGCACTGGGGTGATAAATGACCTAGTTTTGGGGACTTTTGGTTATGGATTGGTTGGGCTATGTTTAGTAATTAACTGACCACCAAGGAGGCGTGTTACTGAAACAAGAGAGCATGTTGTGGAGTCTTTACCAGCCTAAGAGGGCAAATGGGACAGTAACCACAGCATAAGGACGACCAGCCACAAGGAAGAACTCAGGGCAGAAGAGTAATTGTTCACAGGGTATAAAGGTGTTCTGAGTATGTGGATTCCACCTTTGCTGACAAGGCTGTATCACACACCCCTCCCATACCAGGTACAAAAGGGGGTCATTAGAGACTCAATGACTGCATATTCTGATAGAAGCATCTTGGGACAATGGATTAGCTCAGCGGTCGGCAACCTTTCAGAAGTGGTGTGCCGACTCTTCATTTATTCACTCTAATTTAAGGTTTCGCTTGCCGGTAATACATTTAAACATTTTTAGAAGGTCTCTTTCTATAAGTCTATAATATAGACTAAATACAACTAAACTATTGTTGTATGTAAAGTAAATAAGGTTTTTAAAATGTTTAAGAAGCTTCATTTAAAATTAAATTAAAATGCAGAACAGTTGTCAGGCAGGCCAGTCCTCGCTTACAGACAACCCCCCAACCTGAAGCAAATACTCACCAGCAA